CTTCAGTTGGAAAAACCCTTGCCAACTGAATAATTTTGTTTTGTCTTGTTAGCTTTTTTCAACAATTTTCAGGAAATTTACAGATTATTTGGCTAAGCTTTTGCATACTGAGCCAAACCATATATATGTAAAGCGAGTGATTCAAAGCATTTAGAATTTCAGTGAGGTTTCTATAATACCCATGTGAATTCTGGGTTGAAGGGAAAAACTATAATTAGTATGCTTTCCTTTTTTGTTTGTTTGATTTGGTTTTCCTGTTTAAGAGAGGTTAGGTTAACACTAATTTAATTAGTTTAAAAATCATTCTGCAAATATTGGTTGGCTGGCCAAACTCTCAATAAATTTATCTGCAGGAGTGGATGTATTTTCCAAATTATTTTCCAGATTATTCTCTTTTTTTTTTTCCTTTACATATTTGGGACTGTGTTTTCTCTTAACTTTTTCCTTTGTTAAGTGTTACTATTAAACATATTATCTGCGGTGAATAATGTATTTTTCTGAGGGAGGAGTTTGTAGGATTCATTGATTTAATTATTCTGTAAAACAAAAAAAACAATTGTTCTAAAATCTTTGTGTAGTATTAAATGCATATCAGTAATATTTGAATAAATTAAAGTGGCATTTTGATTAAATACTTATACTTTAAATATTATAAATTCAGTAAACCCCAGTGAAAAGTGAAATTTCTTCCTCGGAATGACTAGAACATATTCAAAAATCTGTTAAGTGTCTTAAAATTTCCCTCAAAGCTAAAGCTTCATATGCCTAATAGAAAGAGTCATAGATTTTCTATGCAAGTTTACTTGTTGGCAAAACATGTACATCCAGCCACGAAATCTTCTAGGTGTGATGTGTTACATATGTATTTGATTCATGTCTTTACATAAAGCAAAGATGGGTCTTTTTTACTTCATTAAATAGAGCATGAAGTCCTGAACCATCTTTTACTTTATCTTGCTGCAAATACTAATTGTCTAGGTTCAGCTGTGATATCAAAGCAGGACTGGAAAAAAATTATATAAAGTGGTGCAGAGTAGTATGAGTAGGTGATGAAGAGTGATATTTTACTCTATTTAATACATACCAAAGATGAAAAGATAGTCCTAGACATATGAATAAATGTTCATGCAATTCCATCACTTCCAGTTCCAGATGTTTCTACATTTGCGTGTATAATGTCTTGTTACTGAACAAAAGGACAGGAACATCTGTGTTGGGGTAAAAGTTTTTTTAAATTATTTCTAATACATTTCAAAATATACTGTCCTACAAATTATTAACAAAGGAAATGAAATTATAAATAATACCGACATTCTTCAGTATCAAGTGTACATGAGCACATCTGTAACTGCATGCCAATCTAAAGCAATTTAAAATATTTGAATAATCCAAAGAGCCCACATTGCTGATATTTAAGGCTTTATGGAACTCAAATCATTCGTGTTCTCTTCAAATTGGACCTATCAAAACTTTGGAGATGAAACTTCTAACATTTGGTTCTCTTTTGCCAAAACAAATTTACAAAGGAACTTGAAACACTTCATATTGAAGTCTTCAAATTTTCATTACCACTGTACTCAGTTTATCTTTTGATGGACAGGGAAAATCCAACCTTTAAAGAAAACAATATTGTTTTGGTGTATTAAAGCAGGAAGTGCTTTAATTTGATGAGATTGGTAAGTAGACTTTAAATTTCCAAATCTTGATTCCCACTTTCTTAGAAATATTAATATTAAGTACCATTGATACTTCTGTACATATAGCCAACATACTTCTGTACATATAGCCAACTAATATTAAGCACATACTTCTTTTGATTCATAAAGAACGGTCTTAAATAGCAAAGCTGTTCTTTCAAATGGCTACCAAATTTATTGAGACCCAGACTCAGAGACTTCATATTGGCCAACAAGCTGCTTCTTTTTCATATCTTTATTGAATAAGATGTGGTTCAGCTTTGAATAACTAGGCTTCTAGTTTTGGAAAACCTTTTTTAAATCTGCACTTATCTTCATTTTGTGTTTTGTGCCCAATATAGCCTAGGATCTCCTAATATAGTAGGAGTCTATTTTGAGTACCTAATCTGCCGGATATTAATTTTAAGATATATGTAGTTCCCTCCCAGAGTTTGTGGGGTTAACATTGTTGGACACATTTTGAGGGAATTGTGACTATAACAGACAAAAAAGGGTGTCTTAAGCTTTGCAGAGACCTGATAATCAGCCTAACCTACATTGCCAGACTGCATTCTGAGATGCACAGTACACATTGCTGTGAATGGGAAATGGTCTTTGGTCATATTACAGAGTCGGATTACCCTGCTCTGCTAAAATTTGGAAAGATTTGGTCTTGGTCCTGGTACAAAGGATGGAGAGCTTAGCAGAAATCCAAGGGGGACAGTTTTGGTAAAGAGCAGGATTTTCTGTCACCCCAGAATATTGAAAACTCCAAGAAAATGGAAAGTGTAGGTAATTGAAGCAAAAAATGTTGGCTTCAGGAAACTTCTGTTTCTTTGAAAATAGGTAAATACATATAGTCAGGAATCTGTTCAGTTTTTGAGGGTTTTTTGGTTGTGTAGAGCTCAATCTAATGTCTTTTATTTCTCTGTACAAGTTATGGGATTGGGTACTTAATGCCCATCCTCAGTCAAAACTCAGGCTGTATTTATGAAGGTAAAAATTTTATTTAGAAACTTCTTGTGATCTGTAATAATAATTTAATTATACAGAGATTTGTTCAGAGATTTGGCAGAGAATGCATCGTTTGTAGCACATTGGTGCCACCTTGTGGATTGTTTTGTATTTTTAAACTAACTTTTTAGCTAGTGTTTTGACTATGGCTTAGATCTGTGTGAAGAATTAATATTTTAACTGAGGCAGTTTCCTCCATGATTCATTGGGATATAAGAAGAGAGGTAAAGCCCAGTGAGGCTTGAAAGAGGCTACTCTTTTAGAGTAGACCACATCAGGAAACAGACTTGACTGGAAGAACTTAACTATTGTTTATTGAGATATAATAGAATTTCAGAACCCTGCCCGAGTCTCTTCTGAACATTATCTTGCTTTCCAGGATTTAATGAAAGTTTCTATTCTCTTTGCGTATAAAACAGCTTGTTTATTTCCTTCAAGGCTATCTCCCTGATTTTCTACAATCTGCCATTCCACTTTTTCCACATTTTTTTGAGAGCTAAATGCAACGCAATTTCATTTTAATGTATGCTGATTAGTGTACATTTAAAGTGACAATAAAGTTTCTATTCTAGTCTAGTCTAGTCTAGTCTAGCTTACATTTTGATATTTACTAAAATTACCTTTTATATTTTCTTTTAATAAAGCTTGGTTTGGTTTGTCAGATACTGGTTTATCTCCCAAAATAGTAGAAGGAAGCATTCTAGTCATTATGTTCTGGCACTGTTGAAATTACCTTTTTTTCAATTTGGTCTTCCAATTGTCAGAAGGGCTGTACAGACACTTGAGAATTAGGATATAGATCAGGGGTAGTCAACCTTGGCTCTTTTATGACTCGTGGACTTCAACTCCCAGAATTCCTGAGCCAGCTGTGCTGGCTCAGGAATTCTGGGAGTTGAAGTCCACGAGTCATAAAAGAGCCAAGGTTGACTACCCCTGATATAGATAGTAAGTAAAATGGTCCCTAGAAGATAGTTGGTAGCAGTAGAAACTAGCAAGCTGCTACCAACTATCTTCTAGGGACCACAATAAGTAGAAGCACCAAAGAGGCTTTGGGGAGAGAAGAATTCAGGCTTCCAGCCAACTACTATTTGGGCCTAAGTAATTGATTACAGCAGTCCATAAAAAATCCAGCCTTCTAAAGTTGCATTGATTTTGGGGATATAAAGGACAAAATAACCTCTTCTTACATGTTCACAACATTCTCTCAAACTCTAAAAAAAAGGGGGGGGGAGGGGAGTAAAATTGATCCTGCCTTAATAATGATGTCACATTATTACCGCCATGCTCTCTTGTGGTCCTTGGGAAAGTCAAAAGCTCTTATTGTGAGAGAAAAGTGGCTCATTCAGTAACTTGCTTTAACCTAGGTTTAAGTTACATTGATTGATATTTCAAGGAATTCCTTGGTATCCATATCACCTGTTTACATTATGCGGGCTTTTTAAATTACCACGTACAAAAACACTTGTATTAGATTGGATACCTAATTCAACTTCCTGTTTCCATTAAATCAGGCAAATGTGTATTAGAAATGTGCAATCAAGATTATGAAGCCAACTATTCTTCTCTAGTACTTGATCGTCTAACATAGAGAATAGAAAAGATTAAAGGGTTTAATGTTTGTTTCATTTATTTTATATCACCATGTGAAATTAAACTATGTAACTTTTATGCGCAAGCATGTATGTTATATGGAAATACTATAGAATTATATCTTGTACATTTTAGTAATAATTTTTCCCCAATTCTTGCCAGCTATATGAAAAGCACTCAAATACAAGCATATTAGGATATATATTGGAGTGAAATCAATCCTGTTTGTTGTAATCAGTTGCAAGTACTACTTTTATCTTCATCTGTGGCCTTTTTTTTTCATTTAGCAGATAACCTAATTCAGAAGTGTGTGAACAATAAGGCTGTCACACTATGTGAGCCCTTCTGACAACTAGACATTGAAAAATTGAAGCAATTTCAACAGTGCCAGAAGCATAAATAATTAGTAGATTATTTCTTGTACATTTTTATAACAGACTTGTTTCTTTATTTTCCTTAATTCTTGCTGACTATAAGAAATTCAATCAAGAACCAACATAATAAGATACATTACAGTTCCTGATTTGGGATATGTTAGGAATTGTATGTATGTATGTGTGTATGTACAATTAAACAAAACCAATCCTGTTTGTTGCAATCAGCTTTAAGAATTGTATACTTTTATTCGTGAGGTTTTTTTGTTTAGTGGATAAGAGCAAATTATAAAAGTTAATACTGTGTATTAACTAATACCAATAACTCATATACTCTCCCATTTAGTCAATCCATTGATACATAGTCCATTGCTTGATCTGGACAGTGAAGTTCGCCCATCTTCACTTGGCCATCTCAGTCGGAGTGCCTCATTGAAAAGAGGCAGCAGCAATCAGTCCAGTCGTGATGAAAGTAAGTCCAGTCGTGATCACATTACAGTTTTGTGTGTTGGATTTCCTTTTCATTCTGCAAATGGTGGAAGCGTACTTGCCTTCCTGGTGTAATGCATTGGGTAAAACATTGAAGTACTAATTAAGGGGGTCCCCAGTTAAATGTTCTCATTATCTCATTATCTAGCCTTAATTTGGCTAAAGAGAGATAGCTATATTTAAGTATATTGACATCAGATTTTTAAAGAGGAGCTAATTGGATTAATTTATTTTGAATCATGAATGTCAGTCCGTTAAACTCTTAATATGAGTGCTTCTGTGATACTTAAATTTGCTAAGTGAAGCAGTGTGGTGCCAAGTCTTATTTAATACTATCTAGCATATTTATTTCTTTAGCATTTATGAGTTACCACTTTTGATGTCAATCACAAATACAATTCCTCTCCAACAGTTTTCCAGTAATGAATTTGTATCTTGCCTCCCCTTTCCAGATTGGCGATTTAAAACTCCTCAGCAAGTAGCATTTGTCGAAAAGTTAACTAAACTTGTAGTAAGCCAGCTTCCCAACTTCTGGAAACTTTGGATTTCTTATGTGAATGGGAGCTTATTTAGTGAGGTATGAGTATTTGCATTTGGTACTTAAACAATGTGCGATTTATGGAGAACATAAAATAATGTTTAGCTTATTCAAGTTTCCTTTGCTTAAATATCAAGTGTGAATCATTTTCTGACGGCCTAAGGAAGAACAAACTGGTCAGAAAAATTGGGGGAAATGATCATTCTTTGCACTTCTTCTGAACCTGTTTGATGCAGTACCTGACATTTAGAGTAAGAATGGAGGGTCCCAGATTGAAACTTCTATAACATTCATTAGGTGCCTATGATCCAATCAGCATCTCTCCCCCTGTAATTGAATTGGGAATTACAGGCAGATTGACATATGAGAAGGAAGGTAGAATATAAATATAATATTATTGTTCCTTTATAGATTGCTTCTGCTGTTCCTTCTGCATCAGAAACGACATTGTTAAGCAGCTTCCAGGGTTCATCACTCTTCAGCTGTTAAGAGATAGTATTAGCTACTACTATTGCTTGCCTTCTCACCCTGTTTAATATTGACAGACTAGGACTCTCTCTTATTACCAATCTGCCAGCATTTATACAATCACCTAAAGAATGGCAACTGCTCTTCCCAGCAATTTCTATCAAGTGTCAAGAGCTGAATGATAGTTGCACAGCAGCAAATACCAATTAACTGCTCTTTCCTCTATGCATCTGTGTGGCAGATGAAGAGGCTAAAAAAGTTACATGCCTCATTGGTGGACACTTGGGGCTAAGGAAATTGGAAGATAACTGCTTTTTATCTCCAATTCTTTGATATCCGGGCTTAAGTTCAATATTCAAGCTGCTAAGATTATTTTAAAATGTTTCCATGCTTGGAAGTAGTGCAAAAATATATTAATTCCATTTTAGCCAGCTGTTTTTCATTTTGTGATTCTTTAACAGTAAGAAGACAGTTGAACACAGGCATAATGGTTCTCATAAAAGTTGTGTTCAAAACCCACATGGGACATAATTTAGTCATGGAAGTAATGAGCAATCATGGAAAAAACTAGTAATAAAAAAGCTGAGTGACTTAGTCTCACTATTCATAAAAATGACCTGCATACTTTATTTTAATTTTTTTGAAAAAGTTTTATTGGTTTTTTACAATAACAACCTTAGTGCCTGGTGTACAGCGTGTTGTCTTGGTTCATAATTTTTTTAGAAAAGAATATACAATTGATAATAGTTAATAAACAATAATAATAATTTTTATATTTCCATAATTAGTATATCAATTAATAATATATTTCCTTGATCTTCTCTTCACCCTTGATCTTCTCTTTCTACAACATTAAACAAATATAATTTATAATTTCTAATATTTGATATTTTCCATATTTAAATGATTAAATAAAAAAAATATTCTATATTTATAGCAACAATAGTAGCATCCATATATATGGATATATATATATATATATATATATATATATATATATATATATATATATATAACCTGAGCACAACCAAACAGAACACTCCCCCAGCCAATCAGAGCACAGCCAACCCCCCAGCCAATCAGAGCACAGCCAACCCCCCAACCAATCAGAACACACCTCCACCCAATCAGAACACAGCCAAGCTCCCACCCAATCAGTTCATACCCCCACTGGCAGTTAAAAGGAAGAAACAGCTAAGACCACACATTGCTGCTCGAAGCACGAAGCTGAAAACACCAGCCTGAAGATGACGAATGGGACTTCGTCGAAACGTCGCCAAGACACTTCCAATTTTACGCGGGAGAAAACCCGAACAACCAAAGACCTACATACAAACACCCGCGAAAACCTCAGAAAACTATATATATATATATATATATATATATATATATATATATATATATATATATACATATATATATATATATATATAGGAAGTTTTTCAGACAGATGTCTAATTGATTACACCTGGACATTTTTTAACTGCTATACTGCAGTTTTACTTTTTACAGTTAAGTCATTTTTTTCTAGTTCACATTCTGTTGTCTGGATTGTTTGTTCATTCTTTACCATCATTCTTTGGATGTTTTTTGATTGTAGATTTAAGTTAGAAGTATATTCACCTATAGTATCAAAATTATGTTTAATCTCATGATTTAAATCTATTGTAGTTTGTATCTGTCGTAGCGTTGCATAAATTTCGTCTTAGAAAATATTTGTCTTGTCTTGAAATGTTTCTAAAAGTCTTTGATCTTTCAAGCTAAATCTTTCAGGAGTAGATATTGATGAGTATGTCATATCCATATTGTCTCCTCCATTCGAGTAGTCCGTCATAAATGCCATAGTCTCTGTAATTAGCCTTGTCAAGCTAACCAAAACTCAAAATCCATACAGTCCAATTTTGTATAGTTCTTGTTTTTATATATAATTTTTATAATCCACTGTAATTTTCAGTTGTCAAGGTTTCAGTCAGATCAATGTTTTATAACAATTTCTTTCTTTCAGGAATCAATTGTCAATTCAATATATTTAGCCAACTTAAATCCTTCCTGTAACTTCCCTTCTCAATAATTTGTCATAGATCAAAGTTTTTAAACAATTCATAAATTTAAACCACAATTAAATTATTTCTTTTCCTTCAAACACTTTCCAATCTCATAGCTGGCCCAGTATGCAATCTCTTCTCTGTTCCTTAGCAACTATCTTCTTAAAGGTTATTAGAGTTCATGGGAACAGATTTTTTTTCTTTATTTCTGGGTATTGTCTTTAATGTGCTGTATACTCATTGTCCACTAGATGTCAGCAAATATTTATTTTCCAGTCTTTCAGACAAAAAATTCTTATTTTTTCTTTTTTTATGTAATTCAATCAAAATCCTTTAGAATATAATCTTAGCAGTTTGTTTTAGTTTCTAAGTTTGATCAAATCGTAGTATTTTTGAATTTAATTTCAATAAGGTTCTTTCCGCCTTAAAGGTTAATTTACTGCTTCTGTCTATGGAGGAATGGGAATGTAGTTCCTCCCCTTATTTTCTGAGGTTGTTTGCTTTGGGGATCTTTCTCAGGGACTAATTGTAAAATAAGGGAGAGAAGATCAAATACTCTCACCAGTTCCAAGCACACTGTTTACTATTGTTCTTGGTAGTGCTCTTGGACTTCGACTGCAGTAGCTTGGGTTAGATGCTGGCATGTAGCTAGCCTTTCTCCTGTCAGGTTCGGAGGGCTTTCCCTGGATCAAAACGATTGCCATCCCCCTGGCAGGGCGAAATTAGCAATGGGGAGCGGAGGTCCACTCTTGCGTGGCCATGTGGTACGAGCACAAACCGGAAGTGACCTGCATACTTTAAAAAATTAGTTAAGGATTGCCATGGTTTTACTAGGTTTAGAAAGTTAGTAACTGAAGTGAAACTTTTTTATATATGTGGTGAATGCATAAGATGTAACCGTTGGACTTACCTCAGAAATTTCTACAGGAAGGGGGTAACTTAATCAACAAAATTAGTGGGAAAGAGGAACTATTTTGGTGAATATATGTATAGTGTTCATAGATTCTGTAGATCTGAAAGGAAACAGATCTAATCTCCAAATTTTTTAAAAAATAAGAACTTCAATTAACCAGTCCCATTCTCTTTTGATTCCCATAATTAATGACCAAGGTATCTAGCTTATGTAACACAATCAGGAATTAATCAAAATAGAGAATTTTTATATATTCAAAATGAATAGATAGGGATTCCTTTGCTCAGCTAAACATTTCTAAATGGAATAGGATATGCTTTGGTTCATTCTTAGTAGGCAAACTATATTTAGTTCTTTGGTAGGCTGCAAGGATGATTATACTGTATACTAAACAATATTTTTAAATTACTTCAAATTTATTGAGTATACTTGAATATGATATACTAGCAAACTCATTTTAGTAGTATAACATAGGAAAATTGTTTTGTTATTAAAAACTGCTAACAGAGAATTGCTAATGTTCTCTGTTAATTTATTAAAGCATGTTAGAACATTAGTCCAGTTTTAAAGACTCTCTTCCACTTGCTGCAATATCCTTGTAATAATTAGACCCTTCTGTATGTACTACATAGAATAGTTCATGTGTTCCTGATAATACTAATGTGGTAAGATTGGCATCTCTTTTTCTTTCATAAGACTGCTGAAAAATCTGGCCAAATGGAAAGATCAAAGAAGAATGCCAGACAGAGGCAAAATGATTTCAAGGTAAATGAGTAGGCATCCATTTAGATGGTTTTTGAAATCAGAAATGATTTTAAATATTTTAAAACCAGAAGTGAGCTTTGTGTGTTAATATATTAACTGTGCATTTGAACGCAATGGCCCTGTAGGGCTTAACCTCAAAGGATAAGGAAAAGCCTGGGGGGAATTGATGAGGCCAGGATCCAGGACCCAGCAGAAGAAAGTGAAGAAAAACTGCCCTTTGCTGTTTGGATACTTACAAATCAGATTCCAGCCAGGATTTCCCCAAACAACCTTTGTATTCATTGAGTGATGAAAGCAGGTAAAGATTTAGTAGGCTGATAGGCAGAGAAACATTGAGACTATAGAGTGAAGGCTGTTTGTAGTGACAACCTACTTAGGAAACCCTATTGTTCCCAGATATATAGGGAATCTGTACTGAGCTTTATGACATAGGCTTGAAACCTGCAATACCACTCTGGTTAATGGGACATAACACAATGCTGGATATGTCTTCATGTAATATGAGCCCCTGTCCAGCTGTTAGAGCCCTTGTCTTGTTCCCTAGACCTAATTTGTACTTTGACCTCATTGGTTCCTGAAACCTTATTATGCGTATTTTTTTGTTACCTTTGCTGATATAAATCCTATCTGTTTCACTTCCTGGCTGCTGGCAGTTTGCTGATTAGAATGCAAAGTTAGCAAGGCTGATCTATCAGCCAAAACGTCTTCTGTGGTAATGGGACATTTAATAATTGACTAATATTAGATTGGCTAATAAAAAAAACCTATCTTCCACACATTCAGTTACTCAAATTGCTGCTACCTTCCCTTCAGTGCTGGTAGTGCTTAATGAACTGATTTATCAAAGAGAATGTTCCCTTGTTTCAATATACAGTGGTTTATGTACTACTATCATTGGGTTAACATGTTTTTCCTTTTTCTGTCCTAGATGATGATTCAGCAAGTGATGCAATCTCAGGTGAAACTGATACGTGGTGCTTTGCTTCCATTCAGCCTTGAAGAAAATGAACTAAAAGAATATGGTGGCTGGGACATGAAACCTGAGCTTTCTAGTCAGTGGTTACCCCATGTCATTCAAACTGTTAGGTTGGTTTCATCTTAAATCAATATCGGTTTTGATTTCTTTCAGCAAGTCCCCTCTATTCTGAACTAGTTTTGAATATTCTGTATGGCCCAAATAATTAGGAGTTTATGAAACTACAGGTCTGATTGAGACAAAGTACCAACAAAAATTAGTCACAGAATCACAGAATTGGAAAAAAAGACAATTAGGCAATTGTGTCCAATCCCCTGTTCAATGCTGGAATCAAAATTAAATCTTCTGACAACCCTCTTGAATCCATCAATTGAAGATAACATTGCCATCTCCCTTGGTAATTCATTTTATTATCAAACTGCTCTTACTATTAGATTGGTTTCCTAATGTTCAGTCAAAATATCACTCCTTTTAACTTCAAACCATTACGTCATTTTCTACATTCTGAGATAATAGAAGATAATATCTTCTGTGTGATATCACTTCAGATACTTGAAAAGTTCTTGTATATCCCATCCTCAGCCTTCTCATTTCAAGGTTAAACATAACTAATTCCTTCAGTCTTCTCTCGTGTGATTTAGTTTTCAAACCACTGATCAAATGCATCTGTTCCAGTTCCTCTGAATTTTTCATGCAGTGCTAAGAACTGAACACAATGCTCCAAGTTGGAACTGACCATTATATAATATATGGAGCTATATTGTTTAGGCAGAGTGAGAGCGAGTTCTGATAGTGATCTAGTCATAAGGGTTACACTAAAAACAAAAGATGTTCTAGGCCAGCGGTTCTCAACCTGTGGGTTGCGACCCTTTTGGGGGTCGAACGACCCTTTCATAGGGGTCGCCTAAGACCATCGGAAAACACATATTTCCAATGGTCTTAGGAACCGAGACACCGCTCTCTCTGTTGCAGCCTCATTCTCTTCCATCTTCTTTTCCTTCCCACCTCCCTGCGACTTTGCCATATCTCTCAGGGCCTCACGTTGCCTCCCGGAGGACTCAGCTGTTCGGCGGCCCGAGGTTGGAGCCGTTCATCTGTTTGTGCCATAAGATCATAATGCTCATTTTATCATTCTAACAAATCTATTAAATTCTGCAGGTGTCTTTGGTACCAATCTTCCAGTACTTTTCAGTGGGATTTCTGAAAAATAATATATAGAAAATAAGTCAAATTAGTCACATATTTCTTTGTATTACCTGATTTCCATATTTGCTTTGCAGCTGATGTGCTATTTCTTTTTCTCTCTTCCTTTTATTTGAACATATGGTTGCTACCATTCAAATTATAGTTTGTATGTACCTACTCCCTTTCCTCCCTCATTACGTGTTATTTTCATAACATTTAATGTAATCTGTTGATTGCTTCTGCTTTCTTTAAATTTCTCATTGGGATTACTTCTGACTATATTTTTAATGCATCTAAAATTCCTATTTCCATTAGCTTTTGTTGCCATGTTATCTTACTTAGTATTACTTTATTTTTGTTAAAATATGCTTTGTTGAGTCCAGACTATACATTGACTACTGTCAACTTTAAATTCCCGTATTCCAGCATTTCCTCCCAAAGTTCTCACTATTCCTCATGCTTGAGACAAGGAAATACTAAAAACAGAGTTTAAGAATTGCAGTCTGTCAACATCTACTCAAGACTAAATGGTAAAGGTAGCCAATCCATAAACATGATAAAAATTATGAAAACTTGGGAACTACTCAAAAGTAAAGTCCATCCTGCTCTCAGCAAAAGTTGGCTTTTAGTGCTGTCGTGCAGCTATGGTAGAAAGCAAAAGTTTGTGCACTCAAAACATTAGTGTTTTCACTACTAAATTACTTGAAACTAAATCATAATATGCACTCATAGGAGGAAAAGGAATGAATATCTCTAGAGTCTGAGGGTGAAATTTACTGGCACCGTCTTAGCTTGCTGGCAAAATAATGATACCATACTGTTTTATCATAGAACATGTCATAAAGAAAGTGGCCATTTTCAGACCTGGATTTCACTTAACGCTGCTGCTGTTCTTGTATCCTTTTTTTTTTTTTTTGAGTTACAATTGTATTAAATATCATTAGGACTTTTTCTAGGCATATGGCATTGCTGAAAGAAAGAGCTCCACTGGAGGAAGTACTAAGATTTTTTTTTTTTACTATTCACACACATATACGGACCCCCTGTGAGGACATCTGAATACTTTGACATCTGAATCTCATAATAAACAAGTAGGCTTATTATAAATTACTTTCTTTTCTTTGGCATTCCAGGCTTAGCTATGAATCTCTTACTGCTCTTGAAATACCAAACGATATGCTTCAAATCATCCAGGATCTCATTTTTGACCTGAGAACCCATTCTATAATGATTACATTGCAACATACAGCTGAAGGTTGTAATTTTTTAAAAAAAATTCTTTATCAATGATGATCTCTTACTGTTTTTTTTAAAAAAAATTCTCAATTGTGATTTTATTTTCATGAACAGATAGTCCTTGCTTACTGATCGTATTTGGGACCATCATCTCCATCACTAAGAGTAAAGTGGGTTGTAAAGTAAAACATCATGTGACTGCCCAGCTTACAACGTCAGTTCCAGTTGAAGTTGTTACGTGGACCCCACCGTTGTTAAGTGCGGTGTCATGTGACTGCAACCTGCAACTTCCTGCCAACTTCCCTGTTGACTTTGCTTGTGGGAAGCCGGCTATGAAAGTTGCAAAGGGTGATGCCTTGCAGCTCGTACAATTGCATACCAATTGCCAAGCACATGAATCGTGTTCATATTACTGTGGGGACACATTGCAACTGTTCCAAGTTTGAGGACTAGCTTTAAATCTCATTTGGCACCATTGCAACTTTGAAAAGTCATTGAATGAGTAGTCAATAAGCGAGAACTCTCTGTTCCTCTGAATTTACCTTACTGATAATTTTGTTCTATAGTTTTTAATTAAAGAATATGTAGAATATGGAAATGATTCATTTCAATAATTATTTTGCCTCTTTAAAACATTTTCAAATACAATGAACAACATACATTTACATTATTATTATTATATTTTTATTCTGCCTTTTTATATATAACTCAAGCAGTGAACATAACTAAAATATTATAACAATTAACGTGCAATCTTTTCAATATAGATTGATTTGAATCCAATATTTTCTTGCTTTGCTTGCAGTAAGCTTAATGTATAAAAGCTGTTGCCATTATTTTTTAATGTAACATTGACAACATTCTCAAATGAGTTCATTTCAGTTTGTAGTGTAGGTATATGCTATACTGAGGATAACAGTTTTGACATCATTGGGGTTTTTTTACAGATGTGAAAAAATTAGCTGAGAAGGAAGATTGGATTGTTGATAATGAAAGTTTAACCAGTTTGGTGGGTAAATTATTTTTTTTTCAAATGTTGTTATTGTATGGTATAATGTTAAATTTGGATTGGTATGTCTGGAAATTGAATATGAAAAAAACTATCTATTTAAGAAGACCAATCTAATGGCAGTACTAGAAGCTGTAACCTCAGAGAAACCACATCTGAAGGAATTGGGGGACTTCACAGGAGCAAAGAGCTAGAATGTCATAGTGAGACTGAGAAAATGTGGAGTCAAATCCCCATTCACCTTTATAGGCTATTTTTTTTCTCATTTTTCTCATTAAAATTATAAGTAATAAGTGATTTTATAAGTAATTTACTTTGTCCTCTTTCTCCTTTTAGCCATCGCAGTTTGAACAATGTGTTATACACTCTATCCAGTCACTTAAAGGAGTCTTGGACTGTAAACCTGGGGAGACTAGTGTAAGTAATACATCTCTTTTGTTCTATTTAATAATCATTCAAATCTCTTTCCATTAAAGTAATAAATTAGTCTCCTGCCAATTTTCAAATAAATGGAAGTGGTTATCAATGCTATACAACAATTTCTTGTTTAATGACTACCACAGTTAGCAACCATTCAGAAATAAATGCACTCATTTATGACCCAGTTTTGTGTACATGACAACACACACCACAGTGAGAGTACTGCTGGCCTAACTGTGTGAAAGAACTTTTATCAAAATAAGAGGGCAGCAACTAGTGATCTTCACAGTGTCTCTTGCTCTCAGTTATGTGTTCACTAAGCAACCATTTTGCTTAACAACCTGGTCATTGGAGTGGAACTTGGTTGCTAAATGAGAAGTGAGTATAATTATTGGTGATATGAAAATACAATATTAACTGCAATAACAAGATTAGGCATCTTGTATACATATCGAGAGAGAATAATTCATAAAAATAATATCTGAAACTTTAATTAAAAAAATTAATGATCGAGTTCTTGCTTGAGTTCAGAATCAGAATGACTGATAATAGTCCTTTGATATAGTAATGATTCTCTTAAGGGCTCTGTTTAGAATTACTTGCTTCCTATTAAGAAAAATACACAAATTAGAAGTGTAGTGTTTACAGTTTGCTTTCTGACGGATTATTGTTTTATGACTGATAACTCAATTTACAACAGCATTTTTATATAAAAGTCCATAATATACTCTGCAGATTCTAAGGTGATTGTTGTCTTATTATAAGATTAATTCCCATTTAAAAACATGAATTGTTTTTAGATTGTTACATTGTTAACTCTTCTGTATACTTAATTTGAACCCTCAGTTCAGTGTGGGATTCAGATATGTGAACAACTGGTTCTCTGTGTGGATGCCACTTCTGGAAGTCCATTCTGGGCTTGGGCAACAAAAAATTAACTACCAGTTTGTCGAAGTGGTGCAAACCGGCTGTATCCACCACTGCCTCAGTTGTCATTTGCTCAGTTATAAGTAAAAGAAATTCCTCTTCTTTCAGTTATCGGTCTTTGTTCTTAAGTCATTAAATTCAGTAATAGCTAAATCATATAAAGCATTAGTTATTTTTGAAAGAAAAAAATAACCAAATACTAGGACAGCACTGCATTAGGCAAAACTCAGTAAATCACAAAAATATTCAAATATTCTCAGAAATGCAGTAGTAAACTAAAAAGATGCAGTTTGTATGAGTTATGCCACAAAGATAACTTTTTGTGTGCATGGTATGCATTATATATTTAGAGAGAAAGATACCAACACCCAAACCATGAAAATTGTCTATGAATGTAAATAATTTCATAAAATTGTGAAGTTATGTTCATTGGACTTGCTAGATCAGTATAACATCTAAGCTCTATTTTTAACCGTGTGAAATGCAAAAAGCAGAATTTAAAGATACATTTTGGAGGTGAAACTTGGTATAGTCTTCTCATATCATGTTAAATAATTAAACATTCAGTAAACATTTACCTTCTTTGCAAAAGGGAGTTTTAAAACTATCAGCTTAGAACTATTAAGCTGATAACCTGTTCAGTATTTGATTCGAAGACTATTTCAAAATGAGAAATAAAAAAAAAATTAGGTAACTGTTACAGAAAGTAGATCAAGCCACAGTAGTAATTTCAGTATACAATCAAAGCTCTCAGGTTCCTGTATGTTCTCTTTTACTACAACTTGAAGAGAAAACTAGCTTTTGTCATCCTTAGTTGATTTATCTGGAGAAGAATTAACATAAATATATTCATTGACTATCTGCAGCTCTATGCATTTGGCTTCCAATAATCAATGTCTTATAAAGCATTCATAAGATCAGACCTCCCTCTGTGGCAGAATAGTTGAAAGATAATGTAAGAAATTGAATCTTCTGGTTATTGCTTCTTTTAGTCCCTGTTTAGAGTGCATTGTGTGGCTGCAAGTTGTTAGTTAAGAGCATGACAAATGCAGAGGAAATGCTTGGCTTGTTCATGTGAAGCCATTTTACTCACTTGTTCCAATAATTTTTCTTCTTTAGGTTTTTCAGCAGACAAAAATACGGCAAGATGTGTGCCATCTGAGCATTAATATCATGCAGGTAATGTATGACTTAAGAGAAGGGTCAGTTGCAGTACGTGTGCTTGAGAAGTTATTGTTCATAAATGTCATCTATTTCTTGTGCCACTAGTACTGAACTTAAGTATGAACAAGTTAGTACTGAACAGAATAACTGAGGAGTTATTTTACGGTAAGTCAAAATATCAACCCCCCCCCCTTTTTTAATACAGCTCCAAATCAAATTTTTCTGAGTTCTTTCTCAACATGCACTCTGCTATTTTTGTACTTCTTCCATATATTGTGGGACCTGAATTAAACTTTTAGCTATAGATAACAATACAATTATCTAGAACTGTAGATAACAATACAGTTATCTAGAACCAAACTTCTGAAACGAGAAAAGAAAGCATTTCGAGGTTGTTGTTTTTTTAAAAAATGCATGAAGTTGCCATATAGGTGAGAACAGATCCAAGGAGATGATCTAATTTTTGTTAGCTATGTAAACAGCATCTAGCTGATCTTGGCATGCCTAGACAAAAGAAAACAATAGTGAAGTAATTCTGTTTTTTACTAAGTAGAGTACATGGATTAGTCAACAAAAAATAGCAGAGTGTAGTAGCATCTTTTCCAACTAAAAATGTTTTCTTAAAAGACATAAGATTTCATGAGCTACTGCTCACTGTATCAGATGCATTGTGCCTAGACTAATATAGGTTTTAAATTGGCGTAAAGGGGAAGATGGAAGGAGAAATTATTTTAGTTATACAGATGCAGGCTACACATAAGGCTGATTACAAGTATGTTATCAATTAACAGTTGTAGCGTCTTTAAAAAAATCATTGTGCTTGTGGAAGCCTCCTGAAAGTTAGATCTATGCAATGTTTGAAATGCAGTGCAAAAATTTTCCTCACAGCATGCAGAGACATGAATGTCTCTGCACCTTTCTGCAATTCCAAGAAAAAAAGCAGATGCTTTAAGGAACTACAGACACCAAAGCATCTTTCTGCTTTCAAATCCAAAATACTGCAGGGTGGTTGTTGTTGTTTTTTTTAAGGCATAGAACCAAAGTGGAGAGAAGAAAATATTGTATTTACAGAAATCATGATGGCTAACATTTGTATTTGAGATTTAGAGACATACAAAAGAAATATTGGGACGAGAAAGAGAAAGTGATCTGATATCTCCGGCTAATTATGCACTGCCATTTTTCTGTTTTCCATGCCTGCTTCTGCTTTGAGGGCCGGGTTAGATGAAATCCATTTAAATATAGATGAAGAATTGGTGAACTGAACCGAAGAAATAAGTAGCAATAGCACTTAGACTTATATACCGCTTCACTGTGCTTTACAGCCCTCTCTAAGCAGTTTACAGAGTCAGCATATTGCCCCCAACAATCTGGGTACTCATTTTACCGACCTCAGAAGGAAGGCTGAGTCAACCTTGAGCCGGTTAGAATCGAACTGCTAAATTGCAGGCAGCCAGCAGTCAGCAGAAGTAGCCTGTAGTACTACATTCTAACCACTGCACCACCATGGCTATAGCTATTAAATATCACGCAGTTTGCCTTAGGAAAAAAATAAATAAATTAGGGAATACATGTTTCCATCATTTGTTCCCATTTCCTTTGGGACACCCCACCACCCCCGCATTTGTATAGAAAAGCAATGAAAATCATTATGTTGTTTTGAGGTGTAGTGACAATAAAATCTCCACTTTGCTTCTGGATTGATGAAACCTTTAAAGCCGTAACGGTTTATTTTATTCAGTTTAACAAGAATAAGAGGAAGAATTAAAAACAAATATAAGACAATAAAGGTCAGCTAAAATTAAACTGCTTGAATGAAATGGAAAATACTCTGTAGAGGTGAAAAGATTGGAAAAGAAACTATTACTTACCGATACATTCCTTATCTTGGTTAGCACTACTTATAATAAGTGATGGTATCGAATATATTGATTTTTATTTCTTTTGCAGGTATTCATTGATTGCCTGGAGCAACTGAGTACAAAGCCTGACAGTGATATAGATACTACCCAGTAAGTGAAATAATTTGGTGATGAGTTTTTTGACAGTAAAATTCTAGAATTTGACAAACTTCCAGTTTTCAGTCATATTTCACCTTGAAATGATTAATAGGAACACTTTATTCATAGATCACTAATTTTAGAGATTCTACAAGCAATTTTTGTCATTTATTTGACACAGCTAAACAATTTAACAACTTACACATGTCACATTGAATCATAAACTGACCAGATCATGTTTAGTATGGTATGATACATACTCCATCTACATTATTAGCTTATGGTTTTTGTTTCCAGAAATTTGGAAAGCTAATTCTTTAAAAAAGGCTTGACAAATCATAAACTGTAATTTCCATTTTTTAATTATATAACTATATATTTAAATGTATTTTCTGCCCAACTCCAGTGAATTCATGTTCTTCGATAGGGGTCCTGTACAAAGGAGAAATGACCCCTACATTAATTTCAGGCATCTTTTAAAAAAATTAGCATGGAAAATAAGAGCTTCAGTCTATGTATTTAATGTCAGTTAAACTCATTAGGGTCATTAGGAAACAAATGTACTTTTATAAGGCAGGTTTACCCTAATACCAAGATGGGTTAATCACTGACTATTTGCAAAATCCCTTAGTCTTCCAGGTGACATTTCATCTTCAGATTTATTTGGAAGCATCCATGAAGATTTCAGTTTATCTGTAGTAAGTATTATTGCTGTTCATTGAACCAAAAATTAAAATAAATTATTAAAATAAACCAAAAATTGTAACAATATGTTACAATTCACTTAGAAGTATATTCTATTATATACTGTATTGTACTAATTTTATTTCTTTAAAATATAGAAATATTACTAGCAGAGCATGTTTTGCAAACCATAATATAATAGAAATCTGTGGTTGGCTAGCCAAGAATTCAGATTCTGCTTTAGTTAAAAGCTTGCACTTAAATTAGTTTATCACATCAATTAATTAATTTACATATATAGTTATACTCAAAATTTAGGCATCTCTGATTAAGTTGTTTCTGTTTCATCAGTCCCTAAAAGAACAGAAGCTGATACAACCTCTTTATGATAGAAAGTTAAATGACATCTTCCTGCACATTTGAATCCATACTGACTATTCATATCCTATCATTTGTTGAATTAAAAGAAAAATAAATAAATACAGCAGATGCAGAAATTTGCAGTTAATTAGTTCTGCTATTTTCAAAAGTTGAAAATGGTAAAAAAAAATAATTGATTTCATTAAGATTAGCAAGCCAGATAAAAGATATTTTGCCTGGTGAACAAATACTGCTATCTTCTTTCCCACTCCGATTGCGATTGTTCTTCTGTCTACTTTGGCTCTTCTAAGCCACATATTTGAAAATGAAAATAAACCACATGTAAAAGTAGGAGAAAGCTGCAAAAATCAAAACGCTTTCTGCAGTGGAAAATATGGAAGATCAAGAAAAATCTCTGCAAAAACTGTCACAAAACCAGTCAGATCTGCAAAACAGAAGCCATGAATCACTGGAAACAACCTGCTGAAAAGTTTAGCTGACACTAGAGTAATTATCTATAGGTCCACACTAAAGCATTACATATGCAACCATGATCTAATCTTTTCTCCGAAATCATCCCAAAATAAAATATATAAACTATGCCTTCCCCCTCAGAAAAAGTCATTAAGCCTGAAACATTTAGGAATATAGTTCTTTGGACTAATGAAACAAAAATTGAACTGTTCAACCATGGCCACAACCGCACAAAATTTGGGGGTGGGAGGAATGTGAAGCATTTGAAGAAAAGACTGCAGTAGAATAGCATTAGAATAGTTCTGTCTTGGAGGAGCGCAAGAAATATTGTGAGGCTGGAAAGAAGAATAGACTGTAAACATCAACTTGTTGTACATGATAGTATTCACTACTCAGTGAAGAAACCAAAGTTGAAAGGTTAGATATTTCACTAAGACAATAGTCCAAAGCATACTTTAAAATTAATCATGAAGTACTGGTAGGAAAGAAATATTGTTTTGAAATGGCTTTCAAAACCCCTATGTTAGAATATTGCTGAAAATCTGGGAATATATCAAGTATGTGCTGCATACAAAAAGAGTTAAGAATATTTCTGAACTAAAAGAGCTATGCAAGAAAGTGTGGGGGGTGGGAAATTCCAAAATAAAAACAACAACTGGTTTCTTAACCGGAAACAGGAAACATTAGGAAGCTAGCACTTCCTAAAGAAGATGTTATATAAAGTACTCACTGGAAGATGTCCAGATTGCATTGCCATTCTCACTGTTTTCTTCATTTGATCGCTAAACAGGTGTGCATTCATATTTGATGTTTCAAATCTCAAAACATATTTAATAAATTATTCCTGTTATGTTTCTGTACAAGAAGAATGATGCACCTTAAGTAACTGGTGCCTTTTGGAAGAATTATTTTTTTACATCAGTTCAGTGATGCTGTATGCTTTGTTGTGAATATTTCATGTGTCAAAGGTTCTGGTTTCGCTGGACATATAATAAAATTAATAAAGATGATAAAAGGTTCTATTTTAAGAACTATTTAAACTTTTAAATGGTTAGCATTTGCCTTGTACCACCAAGGCAAAGTATTTGGTATGTGCATTTTCTTCTTAAAGAACTCCCCTTCATTGGATCCTTTTTTTAAATTTAGGAACGGAGGCTTTTAATTGTCCTCAGTAACTGCTGCTATTTGGAACGTCACACATTCATCAATCTAGCCGAACATTTTGAGAAGCATGGTTTCCAAGGAGTGGAAAAAATTATTCAAGTAAGTATTTTCTGACTACAGATGAGCAGCATGGTGGCCTAGACATACAGACGCTCGCCTCCCACTCAGAAGGTTGAGAGTTTAATCCTAGGCAGTGGCAGATGTTTCTCTATCAGAGCGCAAAGACAAAATCCCTGCTGTGAACTCTACGTAGGCGTCAGGAAGGGCATCTGGCCAGTAAACAATCAGTTCCACTCAGTCACCCCGACTCCACCCCAAAACAAAGGGATTAAAGGGTCGTAAAAAAAATTCTGACTACACATATTCAGATGAAGTAAGTTGATAAGATTAGAATAACTTATAAAAAAAATTAAGCCATTTTAGAATGTTCTCATTTTTTTTTAAATTGCCGTACAGGTAGTCCTCAATTTATGACCAGAGCTGGGACCAAAATTTCTGCTACTAAGCAAGGCAGTTGTTAAGTGAGTTAATCCTAATTTTACAACCTTTTTTGCCACTATTGTTAAGTGAGTCACTGCAATTGTTAACTGAATCACACAGCGACTAAGCAAATCTGACTTCCTCCACTGACTTTGCTTCTCAGAAGCCACCTGGAAAGATTGCAGATGGCAATCACATGACCCTGAGACACTGAAACCATAGCAAATACATGCTGAGTGCCAAGCGCCCAAAATTTGATCATGTGATTATGGGGATGCCAGGATCAGTCGTAAGTCGGTGTTTTCATTGCCACTATAACTTTGAACAGTCGCTAAATGATGGTTGTAAGTTGAGGGCTACTTGTACTGACAGGTTTTTTACGTTAATTATACATTTGTGATTTATTTTCATGGAAAAGCAGGATTTACACATTGTAAAATGAATCAAGAAATAAATCGATCCCGACTGCTGAGACTCATCATCCACCTATTTTCAAAATACTTTATATAATTTGTTAAGAATGGAAAATCAAAAACTATGAAATGCAGTATGTTCACAGTTTGGCATCCTCCACACTAATCACATTTAAGTCTGAGGTTTAACCTACCGTTTTCCCCAAAAGTAAGACCTACCCAAAAAATGAGCCCTAGTTATGGGGTGAGGCGCATACCTAAAAATCAAGCTGGGGTGGGGTGGTAGAGCTTACCATTGCAGCCAGGCTTCCCATGGATCAATACTTGTTTCACCTCACCGGCCCACTTCTGCAGCTGACAATGGAGCTCTGGCCTGCATTTCACAGTTAGAGGCCTTTCCAGAAAGGCCTCTCCAGCTGAGAATCAAGCTATGGATTCAATCTGCTGAAATGTTTTGATTCATTGAAAAAAGCTACATCCTTTTATTTAAGAATAGATCAGCTTGCAGACATTTTCCTTATTGGATGCCTCCGCCGAGTGCTTTCCGCCTATCAAACTGGAATTTAAAGTTTCCCATTGTGAGGAACATGAACCTGACTGCCAATGAGGAAGGAATGAGCAAACTGTTAAGGGAGTGACTTTAAAAAAAATTAGTCTTGTGAGAGAAGAAAGCTAGATAAATTTTGTTTAGTATTAGATGGGAAAAACAAAATTTTTGACAAGCTTTCAAGGTTCTTTATATTATATCCTATAATAATAAAATACCAATCTTTACAGTTCCTGTTTTACTACCTTGCCAACTTTGAAGGAAAGACAGCTATAAAGGGCTTTTCAGTGTCAAGTGGTTCAAATCATACTAATAAAATACACATAAACCATTATTTCAAATGCTTTATGTCACTTCAGTCAATCAAATTTAAGCAGCGTAAGGTTATGAAATGCCAGTTACTACACCATGCACCTTGCTGTCTGCTTTGCTGTGCATTCTTACATTGGAAAACATTATTTTATCTCTTCCCTGTTGAAAATTTAAAAAACAGTTTTTCTTGGGTATCATTTTGTAGATGGGAATTACAAGCCCAAAACAACAGTAACAATAAAAGAAAGAACAACACCTTTTGTTATGTTACCTGTTTTTCCTGTATACTAATATAATTGGATGCCTTTTTCTCATTGAACCAGATGGGATATTGGGGAAGTTGTCCAATATTCTGTTCTTGTAACAAGTAACTTTGGTTTATATACAGCCAATGCGTTTTATACTGATTGGCAAAAAATGCAATTAACCTAACTAGTATATTTGCAAGATTAAAGGATGTGACATGTAAATTTTCTCTACTGATATTATTAATGTTACAATTATGTCTCTATTTTAGGTTAGCATGGATTCATTAAAAGAATTAGATCAGCGGCTGTTTGAAATATACATTGAGCTAAAGGCTGATCCTATAGTAGGTTCATTGGAACCTGGAATTTATGCCGGTTATTTTGATTGGAAAGATTGTCTTCTTCCAACAGGTAAGTATTAGTAGAATGTTTGGAATAACTACTGTGGATAAATATGATTTAACATTTTCAAGTATTCCATATCACTAAAATCTCTCTGTGTGTGTGTATGTGTGCATGCGCATTTTTATTATAGTATTCATTACTGGAGAGCTCATAGCTCAATGTCTGGACTGGTTCAGGGTTCACAGCTCAGTGTCTGGACTGATTCATTATAAGAATCCTGTGCTGATTCATTTTTACATACAAGGATTCACAGTGCTGCTGTTGGCTGAGTGAATGGGCATGTAACTGTTTCTGCACACACAAACTGTTTCAGTCAGTTCTATGCATAGAAAGTTATTTAAGAGAGAGGGAGACAGAAATGAGCTAAGGAACCTGAGATCAATAGATTTTCTGATGATTTAAACTAAATTAGCAAGAATCTCCCAACTTGTTTAAAAACAGCAAAATTCAATTTTATCTCATGTCGATGCTCAACTTCTCCAGGCTAGGATAAAAATAAGGGCCAAGCAGCTAATTGAGTCACTGACATTTCTGTTTTGACTGTTAGTTTTGAGGGACATTTACACAGAATTAATCTGGATATGAGTAGATGTCTTACATGATCGAGAACCCTAATAATGGGTAGCCCTTGATTTATGAGTATAATGGAGCCTACTCATTACAGTCATAAATTAGATGGCCATAAAGCGAGTCATCACGTAACCAACCCAATTTAACTGCCATGGTCATTAAGCAAATGCTGCAGTCATTAAGTGAACCCTTTTTCGCTATGGGATGTTTTTACTGAAACCAAAAGTAAACGCCACTATTCAGCAAAAACAATGTAAGTCACATATCCATGGGACACTACAAAATGGCCGTAAATGCAGATCATTTGCCAAACACCCAAAATGCAGTCACATGACTACGGACCGAGGGGGAGGAAGCAACGATTGGAATTTTGGAACCAGGTTCTCTTTTCTAAGGTTCGTTTTAACTTCAAACAGTCACTAAGCAATCAGTTGAGGAATCTGTAAAGCTAGCTTGAATGTTGTATAGTATTTTTTATTAATTTGTAAATAAACATGAGTTTAGATCTTCCATCAGACTCCAGGTTTCAACTAAGGTTTCAATATCTATCCTGCACTCTTCCCAATTTCAGGACTTTTATTTTCACAGTGAATATATTGATATGTCTTGTTGGAATTTCTGGGCTGTAGTTACTAATAATGGACATTTGAATTTTTATACACAAGTTGGCTCAGTGTATGAATAATGGAATTCAGGAAGTAACTGGCTCTGTCACATGAGGTGTCACCATATTGTATCTCCTTTCACTTTATGGATCTTTAGTTTACAAAAAAGTAGAATACTTTCTTTTAGAAAGCAAACCAGAACTCTGCTTTCCCATGTTAACACCTAAAAGTGAGACTATTGGCTATGTTAGAATGAGGCAAAATATTTGGCTCTGTGTATTGCATTATATTACCCTTGTAATGCAAAGATTATGGCCAAAAGCACTTCCCTTTTTTTTTTTTAACATTTGGTGAGATTATAGTTTTGGATTGAAATTATTCAAAATGATCTTCAAAATGTTCAGATCACTGACTTTTAACAGGTAAAAAATTATTCTATTTTCCAGTTCTCTATTTCATTTATAAGTTTATTAGATAAGTTAAATTTTTGGCTATACCAGGAGAATAAAAACCTTACACAAAATGTTTTATGTTGCTTTTTCAGCATTCAAGCTTATGAATTCATTTGGGTGATAATTCTTTAAAAAGAATGGGAGAATTTATGAATGACCAGGAACACTCATAATAATGTCCAAGAAACAACACATGAGTAAAATATTCTGTATTTATATTAGTAAGTTAAAGTTAATAACTCCTTCAGGATGGCCTCAGCTCATCATGGCTACATTGACATGTCCATGTTGTTTTCCTGCAACAATATGGAAATGATTTGCCATTATCTTTTTCTGGGTGTTTTTAACTTCCCAATCTACCTTCATTTCTGGGATTTCCTGATGACGTTCCAACCAAATCTGATCCTAATCTTTTTTCAAGATTGGTTAATATCAGCTCAAAACTGCCTCTCAATTCAGATACAAATTTACCATTGTTCCTGGCATTTAAATCATTGTTTATTTCTCTTGAGCTTGCTGCAAATGTTCTCATCTAAACTAAAAGCTTTTCTTTTCAAAAAATATAATCTTTGACCACCACTCTTGAACAAGTTTTAATTGACTTCCACAGAAGTACACATTAGCGCACATTTTCCTGCATTTTATATAATCTAGAAAATAGGAGATATTATTACTACTTGATTGCAAACAGTAAATTATTTTGCAGTTAAAATAAAGCAGCAGATTCTCACATTTATTACTTTAGCCCTCATTTAGCAACCATTCACAAACATGACAGCAATAAATGATAATAAAAAAACCCATTTTCTGACCAATTCTCTCATATTGCTTATGATAATAAAACCCTTCTGTGTGAAACTGATTAAGTCTGGTCAGTTTCAGGCAGCTGAAAGGGCCAGAATTCTAATCAACTAACTGAACTCACACCGTGGGCTTTTTAGGAAAGGAAAGTGCGTCACTGCTGAAAAAAAGTTCAGGAAGAGACCAGTTGTTCAAACAACTCTCTGCCCTGTGAGTGGGCAAAAAAGGGGAGAAAATGAGCTAGGCACAGGTACAGTAGAACTTTATCTGATGAAATTACTTGTGCACTTAACAACTGAGTTGTAACCAATTGCAGTCACTTAACAAGGACTGCTTGTATAGCCTAGTGCACAGGTCGGCAACCTGCGGCTCCGGAGCCGCATGCGGCTCTTTGAGCCTTCCCCTGTGGCTCCCAGCCTCCTCTGCCTTTGCAGAGAGAGACAGAGACAGAGAGAGGCAATTGCGCTTTCCTGCTTCTCTCTCTCTCTCTCTCTCTGTGTGTGTGTGTGTGTGTGTTTTGTGTGTGTGTGTGTGTGTATGTGTAAAAGAGAGTGCACTCACAGTGTTCTCCGAGGAGCTGAAAAGGTTACTGGATGGAGCTCCTCCCTTTGCTGCGTCTCTGCAGGAAGCAGGAAAGGCAGGAGAGAGCTAGCTAGCCCAGCTAGGCTGACTCAGGAATTCTGGGAGTTGAAGTCCATGAGCTATAAAAGAGACGAGGTTGCCTACCCCTGAGCTTGTTGGACAACAGCTTGAAGCTTGCCAGTTGAGCAGCAGATAGGAGGGGGGGGAGAAAGAGAGAGAGGGAGGGAGAGAGAGAGAGAGGAAAGAGAGAGAAAGAAAGAGTGGGGAAAGAGGAGTGGCAGACCAAGGGCAGATAGGGAGGGAGAGAGAGAGACAGAGAGAGACCCTTTTGACATCTAAAATGAAGATAACACTGCATATATCCTTTTTTTAACCTGTGTGTGTATGTAATTTTATTCTCTCTTGGTGATCATAGTTTTAATAGTACGGATATTCCCAAGAGTCATATTTTTACTTTTATTTTTAATGTGTATATATACATACACACACACACACACACATACACACACACACACACCTATAATAAAGGTAAAAAAGGATATATGCAGTGTTATCTTCATTTTAGATATCAAAAGGGTTTTGCGGCTCCCGGTGTTTTGTTTTTGGTGGGAAACCGGTCCAAGTGGCTCTTTGAGTGTTTTGAGTTACCTACCCCTGGCTTAGTGCTTAAAAAGCATCTTTGTCATCTAATTTAACAAAGTATCATTAAAAAATATCCCATGATTACAAATCAAAACACTGACCTACTCTAATCAAGTGGCTCAGTTATTTTCCTGTTACTTCTGGGTTTGTTACATATAAAATACTACCGGTATGTTGTATTATAGAGAAAGGTGAAAGCACTGAATGGCCTGATTGGCTCTCTTGACTAGCAATTATTTATGCGGGGAGGAGTATATATTTGGTCTTAGTTTTCATGACCTCATTCATTAAATGAAGATGACCTGTCCTTTAACTGTTACTTAATAAACACACAGTCATCTTACTATCTTGTTTTATGATTAGTTTGAAAGACAAAGCAAATAATATTATGCAGAGAGAGATTGGTTAGCAAATGATCCAGGTATTTATGGCTAGGTTATACAGTATGCTGTCTGTATCTTTGTCAAACAATTTGGCATTTTATCAGAAAATTAGAAGATTTTTTTTTTAATATAATTGGGCTTCTATTATCTCCTTGGCATTCCAGGTATTTTTGTCAATGTAAGCCTTTCTCCAATCAGCGGATTCCCTTTTGCATTTCCCTTAGAAGCTCCAGGATAATATTCATAAAGTTTGAATGACAATCAAAATAAATTCATAAACCTTACATATCTTCAAGTCCATTTTTCATTTCAAAATAGCTGTCATTTCATCTCCCAAAGACAGCGGCAGGCCATTATTAGGGCAACCACAGGTTTATGGACGTATATCATATTTAAACTATTTGGTTTATTGAAGATATTGGTATAATAATAATAAATCACATTGATACAAAGCAAAAGTACAAACTAAAGTTATTCTTGTATTTCTCAGACTTTTTCTTAAAAGTCTGGGTTAACTGAGGAACTGCCTCCAACTATATTGAGATTATCTGTGGAGGTCAACCAACAGGTACAGCTCAGTCATCTGAGTAAAGCTTGGTCACCCCTTCTTTATAGCCATCACTGATCCCTTAGTGGACTTGCATTTAATGGAGAAAATTGGTCTCAGTGTTAGTTAGCATTAACATTTTTTTCAAGCAAAAATATTTGAATTATTTTTGATTTTATGTTTGATTTGTAAACTACAGCTGATATTCCAGTAGTCAGCAGTCTACGAATGTGATTATAAATAAAATAGTATGTCTTTCTAACCATTTTATTTTTAACATATAAAGGGGGGAAAACCCTGAGATATAAATAACCAGCTTTCTGAAATTTATTTTTGTCAGGCAGGTAGAGCTCATGCAGAATTAAGGGGTTAAAAACAGGAAATGTAATTATAGGTGGGTTGTCCTTATGAAGACTTTCCAGAACTTGCCTACACAATTCACGTTTTCTTCTGTTGACAACAATATCGAAGCAAAATTGAACTATCATATTTTCAGATCCTTCTATGATTAGTGGTGGAATGTTTCCAGTAAAAGCAGGAAATTACTCACTCTGAAGAGAAAGAAATGAGCTTTCTTACATGCAGATGGTCATCACTTCCAGCAATTGTTTTTTCTCTGCTTTAAGCAAGTCATATTCTCTTCATATAAACTGACGCCTGTTTGAAATTTTAAATATTAAATTGTAATACAAGATTTCCTATACAGATTTGTTTGGATTATGCAGACTAATTAATTTTTGTCTCTGTGAGTATTCTTTAAACAATAAAATTGCTCTCTTAAGAGTTGCTTCTTATATTGTAGTCAAGGACTTTAAGCACAAGTGTATTAAGCACTCTATAAATTAATCTGTCTGCTAACTGATAAATGTCAGTTATTACAAATAACTGCTGGAGTTTTTCATGATCAAAAAGCTTTGAAGAAGGTGGTGAACAGGGAAATGTAAATGAGATTAGCACCACTGGCTTAGATTTGAAAAAGGGCTTCCTCTTTTCACTTCCCATTGAAACAGCATCCAATTGTAGGGCATTTTACAGCGTTAAATGTGATTTCATTGGAAATAAACATGGTTTAAATTTCTGCTCTCTCTGACGCATGTACTCCATATATGCTGCTCAGGTTCCTATAAGCATCAAAAGTCTCTTGAGTCTTTCAATATGGTTTGGGAGACACAGACTTACTAATCTGGGCTCGCTGTTCAGCAAGTTTGATTTAACAAGTTTTGGCTACATCTTCTGTGTTCTTGTTATGGAGGTAACCATGAGGGAGTTCAGCACAGTATAAGTCATTTTATGCCAGTGGGCTGCTTCTTCAGTTCTCAGATGTTAATTTTACACTCTTTTTTGCAGTTGCATATATAGGGGAACAGGGTCTTCATTTCCAGCTAGACAAGACTTGAAGAGATTGCTTACTTTTAAATGACATTTTTGAAGGCATGAATGCACCCTGATTTTACCATCCAGATGTGATTTGAGGGGAGGAAAAGGACTTAGACAGAGCACTGTCGAACATTTTAAAACATTGCAAAGAGACTCTTTCCAATTCCTCTAATGGCAACATGGGAAAACTGCCCAAATGGAAAGATTAGTATTATTATTTTTAGAATTATTTTTATTTCTTGTACCCTCTATCTCGAAATGCAGCAATCTGTTTTTTTTTTATCATTTGTTTTTCTGTTTTCAGCGTGAAAAGATTTATGCTTAAACCACATTATTTGAAACAGACCTTTTTCTAAGCAGACACTGATCAGTCACCATTTTCATGCACTCCTGGGTTTCAAATGCTCAATTACTTTTGCTGTCTTGTTCCTCTCAACCCATTCAGCAACCTGCCAGGACATGAGAACTGATACTGTTCCTATAAAGTAGCCTGCAGGGCTATGCACATCTTTGCAGTAGCCTTTTGGTGACCATGGTTTGACATGAGCACTTTCATTGTGCCATCCCTTTTCTACTGCATTAACTTTGCTGTACTAGACAAAAATGGCCTCCTGGCACAAGCATTGCAGAGACGCTTTCCATCAAACTGAAGCAGCTGACTGTGGCAGATCCACTCCGCTTCAGTGTTTGTGAAATCGAATGCCCTTGCCTCCAATAGGCATTTTTCCTTGTTGAGATGGAGCAATACTTCAAGAGGGATTAAATCCTAGATGACCAAGTAGACACCTTATCCCTCCTTAAAAGCATCTGGTCGAAAGGACTGTTTGGTTTTGAGATTTCAATTTCCAGAAATTATTCTGGGATGCCCCTTCTCCAGATCCCCAGTCCACTGGGGTGATTTGGTTTTCCTTTTCTCTGGTCGTAGTTTTAATGCCCTCACCATTTGCTAACAAATATAACTGTGGATGGACACTTTGGTAGCATATATTTTTTAAAAACAACATGAGCAGATATTTTCCTCATTTTGTTATGATTTCATGAATGCATTTATTTTATCAGTAAATTTATCCCTGTGGCTTTCCAAAGGGATCATGATGGCTACTGACAGAAATATAAGAGTGGGAGAAGTGGTTCTTTATCTCCCAAAGCAAAGCAAATGCCATATACTGCTAGACTTTATAATTTCTTTCTTTTATCCAGTTGCTCAGTGAGATAATCATGTCTGCTTAATGCCAGACATCATATTATGGGGAATTTCCAAGATAGAGCTCTGCCTTTTTTACTAAGTGAGTCAGGAGGTATGTGGGTGGGGGCACTTCTCTTGAATGCCATGACATCATATGGTGCCTGTGTCTTAGAGGTTTATGGTTTTTATAAATCATCACTGACCTGTAGAATAATGACAAAATAATGAATAAGAATCCATAAAAGCATGCATTTAAGTATAGTGAGAATAGTTCTGTAGGTCACTGCCTTAAGCTGGTACTTTGCACTCCTGTTTAAAATGTATAAGTTACACTTGTAGCTTTTGAAAGGGCAAAGATAAGGCAAATAGTATCTGCAGAATAATGAGGTTTTTTTTTCCTTGAATTAGACACTGCTGTAGCCTGTCTTTCCTAGCAGGAACTCGGTCCCATTTCTTATACCTATCAAATATGATAAAGCTTCACTAATAATAAATAGTCAAATGAAAATTGTCATGTACAATTTGTCTTGTATAACAATTTGCTTTGGACAGACATTTACACATATATATCCCTCAGTGTAATTTAGGTTAGCAGATTATTTTCAGAATTCAAGGTTTCCTTTAATTAAATGTTCCTGTGCTATAGTATATTGATCATGCAGGACCTGTTCACTAATTTACAAGAACAGTGTTTTACATGCTTGTTTTCTTGAATGTTGAGTTATATTAGAGGTAACAGCACTTGAGATCTTTGCAGTGGCTGCCATACTTTTAAAAAATGGAGAAATTGTCTCAAACAGCATATGTGGACAGTTCTTTAGATGCAGTCCAAAATTAACTCCACTACAGGTTTCTACGTATTTCAAGTGGAAATATTTTAAAATGTGTTCCCATTCATTCTCAGTATAGGTATTTTAATTGCACAATCTATTTAAATACTACCAAGAGTTCCATCCTGTAGAAATCTGTGTCTTTTTTATTGGCAGAAATTCATTTCATAAAATGAAGTCAGAATCAGTTGTAGCTACCCTGTGGTTGTATATTCCATAATTGTGACAATGAAGTCATTAGAATCAAAGTTCTCTATTATTTAATATTAACACACACACACACACACACACACACACATTGTTTTAAAGAAGGAAGGGAAAATAATGCCAGACAAGACGAGGAACTTATGGCTAGTAATCTTTGCAATAAGGAAATGTGCCTGTTTTCAAAAAGGAAATAAATGTGGTGGTGTGGTTGGAAGAAGCTTTCACTTTCTATATGCTGATATTAACCTTGCATTTTAATCAAGTAAGCCAGCATGGTACAAATAAATTGAACAAATGTGTTTGTCTATGTCCTTTCTTATTTACAGGTGTCAGAAACTACTTAAAGGAAGCTTTAGTACACATAATTGCTGTACATGCTGAGGTGAGACTAATGCAACTTATTATCTACAGTGAGTGCCAAAAAAAGCATAAGTGACCTTTGTTTTCCAGTGCCAAAAATAGATTCAAAAATGTTACACAAAAGGTGAGGTCTTTAGTTGATAGTTATGACCCTTGTTTCGTCTGCATCAACACTGCAGCTGCCTTTTAGAACAGTTTTTCTCAACCTCGGCAACATTAAGATGTGTGGACTTCAACTCCCAGCCACTGGAGTTGCTGAGGTTTAGAAAATTTAAAATATAGTAGAGACAAATGAGGAACAGATCTTTTTTGTTGTACATTCCTGCTTGTTTAACTGACTTTTGTACCCATTCTGTGCCAGCTATTTCCATTAAAGATTAATTAAGAGAGAAAATGATGGTATCTGATTTTGTCCATGGGAAACCAATGTTAAAATCCACTGCAGAACAGTACCTTTAGAAAAACCAATTGAAGGCATATAAGTATGTGCAAGCTTTAGATTTCTCCAGAACTGTGTCAGGAAAGGGGTCCTGTATCATGAAGTCTACATTTTAAAATTGCTGTCATGATAACAACTGTAGGAAAATACACAGAGAGAAAACTAAGTTCAGAATGTTACATTGTGTTTCATTTAAAATCTGCAGGTATTCACTATCTCCAAGGAGCTTGTACCCAGAGTTCTGTCAAGGATTGTTGAAGCAGTTGCCGAAGAACTCAGCAGACTAATGCAGTGTGTTTCATCTTTTAGCAGAAATGGTGCTCTCCAGGTAGTCAAGTTAGGGGATATCATTGTTAACAAATACGTATTTCTGCTACTACCTTGGGTGCTTTCAGACAGACAATTCTTTTTGATGCAGTTTTCATAAAATCCCATGGTTATAGCTGGTTGAGTGCACAGTAAGTTTGAGAAAAAAATATCTTTGAGTTAAGATCTGTAACAGATGGTTTGGAGAAGCAGGCTAATTGTGCAGGAATGAATTCTTTTAGTTCCACATTGTTCTACAAACATTAATCATCATCATCATTCTAGCCATTGTCTATCCACTCCAGGAAGAAGGCATGTTTCCAACCAATACGGTCCTGAGCTTTCTTTTGCCAATTGGCCCTGCAATACTTACTGATGTCATTGCTCCATCTTGTTTGAGGTCTCTTTTGTGGATGCCTTTTATCAAGTTTTAATTGAATTTAGCATTAATACAACACCATATGCAGTCCAAGAATAACTACTCTAGCACTTTTTAGACTATACGGATTTTCTGAAGTTGTTCCATAAATATATAAATAATGATACCATATATTTGGTTGAAATTCTTCCTTTGAAATCTATTAACAGGGATCTGTAATTTAAAAAAAAAAACAGGCTCTCAATCCAAGGAAAGATACTTATGGTAATTTATTCCATCCATGAGTCAAAAACCTAAGACCATTTTTTTTTCCCAAAGAGCACATCCTTTGAAATTGGATGGTTAAACTTCTGAATTTGACTTTATTTACAAAACCCATTTATACTACAGTAAGATGAAATGGGCAATCTATATAGATGCACCTTACAATCACTCACCTGAAAAGTGGAAAATGTTGGGGGGGTTTTGCCCCGCTGCCGTTTTCCCTGGCCTAATTAATAGCCTCTGAGCATTTTAGCCTCAGCATAAAACTAGGGAAGGCTAGCTTCTCTTGAGGCTTCACTCATGCATGATCATACATAAACACAGTTGCCCTCCTTCCCCACAAAAACAAAATGCAGATTTTACTCTCTTGAACTTCCTTCCTCTTTGGTAAATGACATATTAAGAACCCATATCCTTTCTGGGTAAAAAAAAAATATTAAGTAGAAGTTATATTCAACATATTTTATACAGGTCAAAAGAAAGCATAATCTAAATATGGAAATTTTATATACTATTCAGATGGGCTTTAATTGATATCTGAATGTCCAAATCTATACTTGTCCTTATATTTGTTAAATGAGATAATAATATAGCAACAAAAAACTTTTTTAGAAGTTAAAGGCCTCTTACTTGTGCTTGCTACTATAAAACTACCCCTAAATTTGCTTAGCAGATCCTAAATATTGTAAAATCGGATGCTGAAGCTGTAACACTGGAATATTTTTGTCCTTTAGGCTCGACTTGAAATTTGTGCCTTGAGAGATTCCGTGTCTGTATTCCTCACTTCTGAAAGCAAGTAAGTAAGAAAAAAAAGTGACAGCATCAATTAACACTTTCTTTTATAAAAATCATCAAATATGCCCCAAACCAAAAAGGACTTCATAAAATGCCTTAATGTAAACATGGGTTACTTGAGATTCCCAACACCATATTTGTGACCCCTGGAACGACCTCCAATCAGATACAGAAAATTAGTAGAGGCTTCCTCTTAATTCTGAGGAGGAAAACACACACACAGACATACACACACACACACTCATATGCACGCACACAAAGAGAGAGCCTTAATGCAGTCTCACTATAATTGATAAAATGTGGGGGAGGATTAACATCACCCCCAAAAATTGAAGGAAAAAAATTATCTTGATTTTACTTAATTTGCTTTGTTATCCTGATCCATTATGTTCATGACCACACCAAAACATTAAGTTGAGCCCTTGTAATCAACTGATTATTTACCTATTTCTATTTCAGCTTAAAATCACATATGACTCTGTAATTTTCTTGGTACTTATTTGACAGTTTCATTTATTTAGTAAAAATAAAAGGGGAGGGTGGGAACAATAATGTATTCAATTCAAGGTAGCAAGCACATCTAATCCTCCTGCTTCCTATTTTCCCCACAATAACAATCTTATGAAGTGGGTTGAACTGAAGAGAGAGGGACCGGACAAAAATCATTCAGCAACTTTCATGCCTAAGGAAGGCCCAAAACTCACAGTCTCGTGGTTTCTAGGCCAGCACTTTCATACTACATCAAACTGGCTTTCATAAATGGCATCATGACCACTAACAACATACAATTCATTTTCTATCTGTTGTCAGGAGAGTGTTTTCCTGATTATTGTGAAGTGTTATGGTATATGGCAGGGGTAGGCAACCTTGGCTCTTTTATGACTCTTGGACTTCAACTCCCAGAATTCCTGAGCCAGCATGGCTCAGCATGGAAACCTTTCCATTTCTTCTCAGCATGGCTGGCTCAGGAATTCGGGGAGTTGAAGTCCACGAGTCATAAAAGAGCCAAGGTTGCCTACCCCTGGTATATGGGAAATCAGATAAGCGAAACTGCATATCTACCTAATTCTAGTGGGGGGAAAATAACATTTATTATAATTAGATATTCCCTAAGGGTTTTTTATTCTTTATTTTTTAATTATTTCCTTCAGTGAAAATACATTAGTGTCACAGGTCCATCTGGATTTTTCAGGAAAAAATCCTTGAGGAAGGTCTTAGCCACCATTTAGACAGTTATGGATCTTCCTGAGTAAATGGCATTCAAAAAAAGAATATCCTTCCTATGATAACCAATTGCTGTTATACTGCAATAGTCCTTAAATCATTGGCTAAGGCAGTGGTGGTAAACCTATGGCACGGGTGCCAGAGGTGACACTCAGAGCCCTCTCTGTGGGCATGTGCGCCGTTGCCCCAGTCCTACGCCTTCAGCTGGGTTTTATAAAACCTTTTCGCTTTAGGCCTCTGCCTCCATGTACAAAAAAAAAAGTTCAATCAGTCAATTTCAACTTCTCGCAGGAAAAAAAATCTTACAAAGTTGGAATTGATTGATTGAACTTTTTAGTCCCACCCAGTCTGCCATTACCACAGCAGCCACGCCCAGCCAATGGGCACACCCACCCGGCACCCGACGATGCATAAGTGGGTTTTGGGTTGCAGTTTGGACACTTGGTCTCTAAAAGGTTTGCCATCACTGGGCTAAGGGTTATGGCTTCATCAATGTGCATAGAGGCTTCCTAGATGAGTTTGAAAGTATATCACAGATGTTTAGCACAGATTAAGCACATTTCAATGGAAGCGATCCATTTGTTTTCTGTCACCAACTGTGAGGAGAGATCAGTACATCACATGAAAGCAGCACCTCTGTAACAACATCCATTTTATATAAAAAAGACTGTCTTTATTAAAGGATAAGGTTTAGAAATATCCACATAAGAAAGATAGTTTTAGAAGGCAAGATAAGTTTGCAAAGTCAAAATTGAACTGAAAACCGAATGATGAAAGCTTTAAATTCTGTGGAATAAAATGAAGATTTTGCACGTACACATGTACAAATATGTATGTGTGTCTGAGTGTGTTTATGCAAATGCTATTCAGAACCCATTCCTATAAATGGCTCTTAATTTGTATTAATGTTAATGATAAATATTTTGTAGGAATTTGCATGTTGCATGTCTAGATTCAAATGTATACACATATACCACACAAACTAATACACATATAGACTGAAAATTAATAATTTTGGTCAACTTGTGTAAGGGAAATATCTGTTTAATTTATAGCTCAAGCTTTAAGCAAGCTCTGGAAGCCTTGCCTCAGCTGTCAAGTGGTGCAGATAAAAAGTAAGTTGGTATCCTTTATAATTTAGAAGGTGTATTTTGCAAATATTACAGCGATTGAAGCATTCATTACTTGAGGATAAACCTATTTATGATCCAAGGCATAGCAAATACAGTGATAGTGGTGGTGTTTCCATTACACCATTTTCCATGCACACAGTATATATGGACTTTAATGTGATTTATCATTATAACAATTCTGCAAAGATTACAGATAACTTTTTGAAGCATCAGCAAGACACTCAAGAGCAAGAAGAAATTTATTCTTGGATTATCAATGTCCAAAATAGAACTCCTTATTAATATTACAGTGGCCCTGAAATATTCCCTTATTTGTTCATTCCTGCTAAACTGAACAAATAGTAATGTTTCATTTCAGTATTGGAAGAAGCTGAAATCCAAGTTGCTTCCAACTCCTTCACGCGTGAGCTTCAAAGAGTTATTGGTATATTAAATAATAGAGTTTTCCCAGAATGCAATTTATCTGCTAAAACACACACTCTTGTTGCTTCTGCAAGCTCAACACTGATTACACAGCAGCATTTTTAATAAAGAATTCAAAGAATTTAGATCTGTTGTTAGTAATAAATTGGGCTTAAGACGACTTATGAATTTTTTTTAATACACATTTTATTGATTTTTTTATTTTTTACATCAAAATGCTCAGGAAAACACTGTGGTGAAAGGGTAATCAATCATAGCAAAACAAGTCATATATATATATTTAAAATTAATACCTTAAAAAAAATTCCCCCTCTATTTCCCTCACATAATATAACAAATTTAGTTTAATCTATTTCTTCTTAAAATTCAATCAATCCACAAAATCATCCCTATTACATCTATATAAATCACTCCTGCTTTTAAGCTCCACTAATTAATTAACATATTCCAATTAATCTTAAACATATTAATAAGACTTTGGGTATCCCTTCTACAACACATAATATTCCAAGAATAATATTCTAATATTTTCATATATAGTCCATCTCTTAATACATCATTAATTAATACCCTTTCTTCTCTTATCATAGATCTCTCTAACTCTTCTGCTATTACAAAATAGTTTTCTATATAAACAAAGTAAAAACAAACAAACAAAAACATTTCAACCTGTTAAGTAAAATTTAAATCTCAATAAAATTATCTATCATATCTAAAACAAACCTATTATTACACCAGTTACTATCTTACTACTTTCATTTACTCAATTAAATTTTCAAATCAATCCAAATCTCTAAAGCCTTTTTGACCCAATAATTAAGCTTTTAAATCACATTTTTAAATCTGACTCTAGCTTTTTTTTCTATACCAAGCTGGTTTCTATAATGTCACATTTATGTCATCAAATCTCAGTATTTGAATATTAATGTTCATCAATAAATCGATCTGATCAAAATTCTCTTTCCCTTTTTCCAATATCATGTAAGCAATATAGTCCATTTTGTTCCATATTATAATTTCAGCTTGATTATCCAAGTTGTCATAACTTTCAATCAATCGCGTCTGGCTGTCAATTCCTGTTAATTTTAGCAATGAGAGTACTTCACTTAAAGTCATTTTTGGATCTTCAAAGTTCTCCACCATTTGTGCATAAATTTGTGAAATATCCTCCTCTGCAGTAGTTAGTTGGTTTGTAGAGTAATCATTTAAAGTCTCAATCTGGAATTTTGGGTCCAAAGTTTTTCTAAAGTTCAATTGATCAGTGAGTTCCTCCATCTCAAATTGTGTAGACTGTTGCATATAAGTTTGTCCTTGACCTGTAGATTGGTCTTTTAGAGTTTGAAGCCCAGCTTGTGGTTCTACAAGATAATCTTTAGTTTTTCTCCATGACTTCATCTCCTCTTTCATTTCCAATATTTTTTCCAATATCAGCTCATAATCCAGTCCAGAATTCAATTGATCAATAAATTCTTCCTTCATCTCAGATTCTGTACACTGTTGTATATAGGTTTCTTCTTGGCCTATAGATTGATCTTTTAGAGTTTGAGGTTGAGATTCTACAAAATAATATTTAGTTTTTCTCCATAGCTTCATCTCCTCTGACATTTCCAGTATTTTTTCCAATATCAGCTCATTGACTTATGAAATATTGACTACAGTATATATAGATGCTATATTTGTACTCATTCCCGCAGAGAGGTGTTAAGAGAATAGATACATGCTTTCATCTGTTAGTCATTGGATCTAGTAAAGATTATACAGCTGTGGAATTTACTGCAGCTGTTAAATACTGTTTTTTTTTTTCAAAAAAGAAATCAGTTACTGCTTAAAATATAATTTAACATTTTAATGTAATATTAAATTGCCTTTTTTAGTTCTCATATTTTTGTCAGAGGCACTATAAGACCATGATTATGAATATCAGAATATTTCCTGAAGGTTGGATTTAACCAGTGAAGTAAACAAAAATAAAAAGAAAAGGAAACACTAAAGTAAAAGCCAGACAAGAGTTCAATTTTGATTGTGCCACACAGTTTGTATATAAAGCAACATTAACTAAAACTCTGAATTTAGGTCACATGATCTGTCTGAATTTTCTGAAATTATTCATGCTCTTTAAACAATGTTAACCTCGAAGCCTACAACCTCATGTATGCTTAATGTGAATAAATTCTGCAGCATTCAACATGATTCATTTCTTAAGAAACATCAGGAGTTCCACATAAAAGCTAAGAAGAAAGTTATCTCCCCATATTTCAATCCACATAAAATTATTCTTAAGAATATCCATTTTTCCAATTATGAAAAAGCTAAAAAATATTTGTATACATACAATTATGTTTTGTATTTGCAATTTATGTTGAACACGTGAAAGGCTGTTGAAGTTGTGAATCTTATTCCATCCACCAGGACTCAATCTGTATAAAAGCACGTGTATTCCTTAGGAAACAAAATAAGAAAGGCTAAAGTTATACACTTATAAATAACACTTCTGCATATGTAGTCTTATTAATAACAATTTCTCACATCTTGAAATACAAGCTAAATATTTTGGCAGAAGTGTTTGTAGATTACTCTGAATTACTGAGGTTGTATGCTAGAGAACAGGTTTGGTAGAAAACAGGTTGCATGGAAACAAAATTAGGAAAAAAAGTAGAGGCCATGCAGTAACAAGATCCATTTTACAGATAGTATAAACTCAGCAAACCATTTCATGTATCTGTACAATGCTCTGTAGTTCTCAGGAACCATGGCCTTAGTAAATTTGCATACTTTGTATGATGCATTGGCTTTGTTATAGATGAACTCAATTACATCTTTGAAAAGTTGTTAGTGCAAGATAGATCGATTTACCTCACCGCCACCACCCTCGTTCCTGCCTCCACCTTGTGTGGTGGAATCAGTGGCTGACAGGAAGGAAGTCCGGTAGGCAGAGTTAAGAGAGATTCCAGCTTGGACTGCATAGGTGGGAGGAAGCATATGAGGTCAAACTTACATAGACTTAGGTCTATACCAGGCTTTCCCAAGAAAAGCAGTCAATCTGGTGAGATTGTTGTGAACTGGTGAATCAACAACAAAGAAACCTGTTGAGAGAAGTTCTGATTGCTTGCGTCTGACATTGTTCTTGTAATGCTTCTAAACTCTTCAAGTCAAGTCAATCGCTTAAAATATTTTTCTTTTTTGCAGATTGCTGGAAGAACTACTGAACATATTCAAGAGCAGCATGCAGTTTCAGCTCACCTGCTTTCAAGTTTCTTCTTCCACAGTAGTGAAGACATAATTCTGAAACTGGACTCTTTTCATGAAAAGGGAACTGTAAATGCCATCCGTCTTGTTCTCAAGTAACTGTACTATTCTTTTCTGTGACCTCATTTTCCTGAACCAAACTTCAGAGTAAAATTATTAATAGACCCAATGCTTCTAGAAATAGTAAACAATACTATTTTGTTTTGATGGGAATTTATTCTGAAATAAATAAACAGTATGCTTAATAGCTTGGCAAGCTGGTTGTGTTTATTATCCTAATAAATGTTGACCAGTGGTGTCACCAGTTTCCTTGAATTTCCAAGCATATTTACCAAAATGTTCTAAAATTCTCCTTAGTAGAGATAAATATAATGATATGTGGGAAAGACCTTGGGAGACTAGGCCAAGAGACACTGCCAAGGGGATGATCAGAAAAGAGACAGCAGAGCTCACAACTAGTTAGTGGGCAGGGCAAGAAACTCAGAAGAGACCCTCCCTACTTTTCAAGCTGTAAAGGAGATTGCAAGATTCTGTTAATGTACCGTAAATGCCGGCGTATAAGGCGACTTCCGCGAGCGCTGAAATCGGCGCCAAAGACGGGGGTCGTCTTATACGCCGAGTCGTCTTATACGCCGGAAATACTGGTAGTTTCCGGCGTATAAGACGACGTTCTAGGAATGCGGCCCAGCTATAAAGACAGGGGTCGTCTTATACGCCGGGTCGCCTTGTACGCCGGCATTTACGGTAGCTTTACAATAAAGTAGAATTAGCTCATCTGCTTGTGATTTGTATCTAATTTACCCCACAAGGCCAACAACATGTTGCGTTGCAGTAGAACTCTTATCAATAAATTGATTATGTAACATCAAGTCACTATTGACTCTTAGCAATCATTTAGGTAGATCTCCAAGTTGATCCAATAGTATATGCATTACCGCTGAAATTCAGTCCCTATTTTCGCTGGTCATCCTCCTCTTTCTCTTTAGGTGTGTGTCATGTATGTGTTCACTTTGAGAGCGGGCAGCTAAATTTCATTTTTGATGTGTGTCGTCGTACCCACAGTAAAAAATGACAATAAAGATTATCTTATCTTGTTTTGTCTTATCGTATTGTATTGTATCGCCTTGCCTTGCCTTATCTTTCCTTCCACCTTTCCCAGCACTTGCAGACTTCTTCAGATCACAGGATCTTCACATAATGTGTCCAAAAGATCATAATTTGAGCCTTGAGTGAAAACCCTGGATTGATTTGTTCTATGATTCATTCGTTTTTAGTCTGCATAGTATCACAAGGTGAACTACTGACTAAACTATTCATCAGCAAATTACCATTGAGGTGATACACAAGTTAAAATATTATCAGTTGAGAACATACATGAAATCTGGAAAGGATAAGCCAGCAAACTATATAATGGTTTTTCTACATTCATACAAGTGTACCTATATGCAGGTTTACAACTATTAAAACCTCCTTTACAAGAAAAGATTATAAGATTTGTAGATAAACACACAATTCTAAAGAACCTGAAAAAGTAAAAAGGATTCCATTTTTACTCAGCTTTTTAAATGTTATGAATCACAGTAGTAAGGAAAAAAAACCCATCATCAAGACCATTTATATCTTTCAAATGGATTAACGTGCATCGTAAAACTTATTTCAAGCCAGTCTGCTTATTATTTCCTTTAAAAAGTAGTCATTCAGGTTTTGATGTTGCTACCTCAAATTTGAACTTGGAAACCCCAAATGTGTATTCGTAAATATCTGCTTTAGTATTTGTGTTTCAATTATCTTGTAGTCTTAACAAAGTGAAGTCGATTATCTTGATAGCAAGATTAAAAGTAATACAGATATTTTCATTTGTGATGAAGTATTTATTCAAGTTCAGAACTTGAAGCAATGTGTCTTTCTCATCAAGCTTTCCTTTTCTCCCATTCCCCAAATGAAGCTATTAATAATTTCTGAACAAGGACAATTCAGTAATTGCTGTTATTACATATGCCATGTTTTGGCATCTTTTATCAATCCCTGTCATCATCTCACACCTCCTTCCCCCTTGGTATTTGTTTATGAATTTATACAATCGCTGAACTCAAATTTTGTGACCCTGGGCAGTGTACAAAAAGACAAAAAAAAAATCGCTGCGAACTAAGATAGCTCATTAAAACATACAATAAAATGACAAACAGAACTGAAATCTTCTCCAAACCCACATTGAAGACTAGGCTCAACCTAACCCTAACGCCAGGGGAAAAGTCAAGTCCTCACTATCTTCCTGCAAGCTTGTAGAGTTGGGGCCAACTGTATATATCTAGGAGAAGAGAGGGACTGCCACAGAGAAGACAGGCATCCTGGGTCCTATAAGATATTGTTTTAATGAAGGGATCCATAGTGTTTACCTTCATTGGAAAGTGTGGGACAGGCCTATAACCTTAGAAGTGAACAATCCTGATCCTATGCTATTTAAGGCTTTTGTGAAATTCCAATTTCTTTAATCCAACAGAGATGGTCTACATGACGTTCTGGAAAAATAAGATTGATGATGATGACGACAACAACAACAACAACATTCTTTGAAAGGAATAATACATGTAAACATCTCAGTTTGCTGCATTTATCATCATCTGGCCTGAATCTCCTTTTCTTCCTTAATAAAGATGACAAATAGTCCTCAATGACCACAGTTAGGATGGGCAACTCTGTCTCTATATACCCTGGTGTTAAACAAGGTCTCGTGACTGTAATCTTACGACTGGCCTTTCCATTGACTGCTTGCTGGAAGCTAGTTATGAAATGCACAAATGTCAATCACAGGTCTGCAGGACATTCCAACAGATTTGTAAATGCCCATTGGTTGAAAAGTGCTTCAATCTTGGTCCCATGACCATGGGAACGGACCATAAAGTTACATTTTAGCACTCTCTAGCAAAGACTACCTGTACTACAAGCCACAGACCTAGAAGGAAAAGAAAGCAAACCAAGATCTGTCATCTACTAAATACTATCAGATTAATAATTGACATCCATTCTTTATGAGCCTACGTAGGTCTGCCTGCCTGCAGGTGTGCATACACATGCACTCACACTATGTAGAATAGCATTCTTTTTCACCCAATTTCTCCTTCAGCAAATCCTAGAAAATATAATTGCCTAATTTGTTTCTTCCCCAAGTTTACAACAATCGAGCTAGCATTTGTTTCTAGATAATATCTTAGTGAAAAGGTTAAGAAAATCACTTGCCATTTACCTGACCTTCACAAGTAAGTGAGAGTTTTTGAAGGGGGGTTTTCATGCCTATTTGTGAGGGGGGGAATCCTGGTTGGGGCCCTTAATGATGAGAGAAAAACCCCAAGGGAAGCTGAATATAAATGGCTGGAGATCTGAGATCTGGATTGGTAGGCTATCTTTTTAATCACAGTCTTTCCCTTCAGTACAGTTTTTATCATATTGTTAAGGGAAACCACAGGGGACTACTTAAGGGGCAAGCCATGAACTGCGTACCTGAGTACCAAGTGCATGTATAGTAAGAAATACGAGAAGAAATGTATCAAGCCTAATTGGAATAGTACATGTGACAAATTGTAATTGATGGCCACATGACCTGCTTCACGGATAACAGCCCTGCCTTTGAAAGGTTTCAACTGAAAGTAGCACCAAGTTTACTATTAATTGACATGCAGAGCATGATAAGAAAGTGCCATTAGAATGCTGATACAACAGCCAAGCTGAAATAAGATTCAATTCCTAATCTAGTAAACTTCTGAACATGCAATAGGGGACATGCCATATTATCCCATCATTCTGGGTAAGCAGTTGGTCTTGAGCTACTTCTACAGGACCACCCCTTGTCTGAAGACCTGACCAGTTCACACGTGATTTAAAAATGAGGGGCTTGTGTAAGAAACGGAACAGAGAATTCTGGAAGATTCCATTAACTCTTCAGATGACTTTGATTCAGTTGTTCTGACGGTGGCCTGGATTTTTTTTTTCTAGAAGTTAAATCTTCTGAACTGTAAATTAAATGCAATCGCCCATACACAGGATTCTGGATAAAATGGAACCAGACAACATCCAGAATACCACAATCCAGACTTACTTTAGGAAATCATAAAGTCACCACTGAAAGTTGAGGGGAAGGGAGGGATGGAGGGAGGAAGGGAGAGAGAGGGAGGGAGGGAGAGGGAGGGAGGGAGGGAGGGAGGGAGAGGGAGGTCCTGCCATGAAGATGACCATATTTAGCCTTTGAGCAGAGATGTAGAAATTGAGATAGGAGGAGTGTTAGAACGGCTGCAGGAATTAAATATGTCTAGTCTAATGAAGAGAAAGACTAAGGGTGACATGATAGCAATCTTCCAACATTTGAGAGATTGTCACAGAGAAGAGGAGGTTGACTTATTCTCCAACACCTGGGGGCAGGACAAAAAGTAATGGATGGTATCCTGCTGTAAACTTTGCTGGATGCTACCAACAAGGTTGCAGTAGATTAATATATAATCTACTTCAGAAAAGCATGGTTAATTTTTTTAAAAAAAAAAGACATTGTTTAGGAAATTTTCTACAGGCTTTTGCTGAACCATGGAGACGACACCCCAAGTATTGGAAATATATTTTGACATAAATATCGAGCAATTAAATTAGCTCTTTGACTTCTAAATAAAGATTGAAATCCAATCAGTCATGATCTCTTTCATTATCGTAGACCAAAACAAGAGTTAAAAAAAGTAACAGCAGTGGGTAAAAAGAAGAAAAAAGAAAAATAAAAGTGTGCCTGTATGTGTGTGTACACAAATACATGCACTCTTATCTGGAAAAGTCAATTTTATTATATTAACTAGAATGTCAAAAACCATTCTTGACAGTGTTAGCACACTCTAATGACAATGGCACAACATTTCCTGACTTCAATAAAAATGGCTTATCTTTCAATAGGAAAGATACAAAGTCTGAACTTCTGCTAATAAAATAGAGAATAGCTGTAAACATAAGGTTCAGTGGTGGGATTCAAATATGTGAACAACCGGTTCTCTGTGTGGACGCCGCTTCCGGAAGTCCATTCTGGGCCCGGGCAACAAAAAATTAGCTACCAGTTCTGCCAAAGAGGTGCGAACTGGCTGAATCCCATCACTGATAAGGTGTTGTATAGAAGGCAACCCAAACAATCTGTGTCAGTGCCACAACCTTGCATCCAAATAGATTTAAAGCCCTTCTTGAAAAGCAGACTAAATGCATTTGAATTTTTTATCTTATGCTATAATTCAC